TTGTCCTTATTTCTCCATCCTTAACCCACAAAAAACTTTAAAGAGCTGCACTAGGCACAACAGTGTGGGAGTACAAGTCTGAAATTCCAGCATTCAGGAGGCTGAGGCAGGACAAGTTCCAGACCAGCCAGGGGAGTTTAGCAAGAACTCAGCTGGGAATATAGTTCAAGCCCTAGCTTGAACTATAAAGAATCTTTGCCCAGCAACTATATGTTCAGCATCTATCTAATGTCTTATTTATTTATTTATTTATTTATTTTGGTACCAGGAGTTGAACTCAACCTTGCACTTGCCAGGCAGGTACTTATGCCACTGAGCTAAATCCCTGGCGAGATGTCATCTTTATTAATCATCATGACTAAAGATAACTTTCAAAATATCCTGTGTAGTCCTCTTCATTTTGCCTTTAAAAACTTCCCTTTGCTGCATAGCAGCTGCCTGGCAAACACATGGTCTTGAGTTCAGTTCCTGGCACAAAAAACAAAACTTCCCTTTGCCTGAGTCTCTGAATTTGCATATAGTTTGTTATGGCATGTGCATTCCCATTGCACTCCTCGCCACTCCCATTGCAACGCTATTCCTACATGATACTGATTTTCTTCAACCGCAACCTTTTGTGACTCTGTGGGTGGACAAGCCCTGTCAGGAACAATGAGGACAACAAGGAAGGGAGTGGAGTCATATGGCTGATCTAGGCAGAGGCAGAGCAGGAGCTGGGACAACTGCTCGATCTGGGTGCTGATTACGTGTCCTTAAGCCACCCATGCTCCACTCCCACTCAAGTCTCGGCACTCAGGGCTTCTCTGGCATCCTGTGTGCTCCTCCCACCTGACCCACCATCCAGGCTAATGCAGGGCACTGGCCCTGCCCAGCCCACTGTCCTTGCCCAGCCCAGCTGGCCATGGCTGGCCTTCACTGGTGAGATCCACAGCTTTCCTCCCTCACCCCCACCTACACACCACTGCATCGTTGTCAGCTGTGCTCTGATCCAGAGAACACCCGGGTCCAGAAGCCGGACTCCTACACACCCATGTTGCATACCTCAGCCGATTCTGTCCCCTCACTCAACACACAAGAGAACAACTGCAAGCCAAGAGGAAACTGAGTTCAGGACAATGACGCTGCAGGATTCCAAGACCACCCTCAGATAAGCGATTCCCCAGAGTCCAGGCCATATGAAAAGCATGGCCAACCAGCATGCCCGTCACATGGGGATGGGGTGTTTTGCATGCTTGACCTTGGCTGCTCAGTTTCAGCCTCTCCTCCACAAGTCAGATTGAAAACAAGTGGCCCAAGTTCCCCAGTGAGTCACCCTTGGCAAACTGCCGGGCACAGCCCAAGGTCTGGCTTGAGGCAAATACCTGACAGGCAAGATGCACCCAGTGGGCCCAGTCCTTTATGGGAATGTGCAAAGTTTGGTCACTTGCTGAGTTAACTCATCAGAGCACAGTCACCCAACAAGCTGCAGCCCCAGAAAGCCTTATTCCCCAGTAGAGAGCCACAGGTGTCACCAACTTGCCAGAGGAAGAGAAGCAGCTCACAGAAAGAGGCAGCTGGGTTTTGCCAAGGACATCAGCATCTGGGCGGTGCACTGCACAGCATCACCGGAAGTCCCAAATAGCAGCAGCCAACAGGAGGCTGTAGGCCATTGCCCACCTGCTGCGGGAAACAGCATCAGGGCCCCACATCAAGGCGGACAGCCCAGAGCAGAAACTCTGCAGCACCAGCTGGCAAGTTCCCATGCCAGGGGTGGGCACACATAAGAACCAGCTAAATTCAGCTTCCCACGTGCAGAGTCCAGTGCTGCCCACTCAACTCTAGGCCTCCTGCCCTCTGTGATGCTTCAATTAGTGAAACACAGGCATGAGGCCTCCCACAGGGACACAGCCTTAACTTGGAGAATTTCATACACCAGTCAGCCAGGGTGCATGTTTTTTTCACCAGAAGGCAGTGTCCAAGGGAGAAGGTGACAGCCCTGGATGGGGGACCCAAACAAAGCCCAGCCCAGGCGATGGTCAGCCCAGCAGCCAGGAGAGGGCAGCAAGGCACAGACTTTGGTCAGGGAAAAAACATGCTTTTCTGGCATTTGAAGTTCAGGACAAAGGCAGACAAAGGTCATTCCTACAGAGTGTCCTGGGGCAATTCATTCTTTCCAGAGGGTTTGCGCTGTTACTACCCGAGAAGTGGATGTCACCACTCTGCCTCACACAACACATGGGTGTGCACACTGGGGAGCAGCCTGACAGAGCCTCAGGGCAGGCAGCCTGCAGTCACTTCCTGGCCCTCACACCAAGCTGCTCCTTCAGGAGCTTAAGGACCCAAACAGGAGGGGCTCTACAGTACAGTGCTGCAACTGAGGAAAGGCCTTCAGCCGAGCTCACCCCTCACCAAGCACTGGCAGATCCACATCCTCATCCTGCCTGATGCGGGGCCCTGCAACCCTGAGTCCCAAGAACCAAGAACAGGATGGTGACTGACAAGGCACCTGGGATTGGGCAGGTCTTGCAGTCTGGGAGCACTAGGACCCAGCCCTGCTGCCCTCCCTACCCCACACAGCCTCACCCCTGAGCCAGGGTCTGGAGCAGTTCTCAGGCCAAAGGAAGGCAGCTGTCTCCCAGTCTCCTGGACAAGACAGTGCAGCAAGGAGACTCCATTTCGCCCCTGGCCCCTCTGCCGCTCGGCCAGGGGGACCCCCACCCAACCTGCCCTGTGCCATCACACAGCTCTTGTCCCATCCCTCTCCGAGCCACCCACTGAGCTGACCAGCAAGGTTGCCCCTCCTCCCAGTCCTCTGGACTGTACCCCCCACCTCTTCCACCCCCATCTGTGGTGCTGCCTGACATGGGCCCAGCAGCCACCCACCACCTTCTCACCTTCCACACCCCAGTCATAAAGAGGCTCATCTCTGAGCCACCCTGCTCCCAATCTTGCCTCTGGAGCCCTTCCTGCCTTCCGCCTGCATTAACTGCAGCAGGAACTCATGTCCTCCTCCAGTGTCTCTTTCCACCGCCCGAGTCTGAGCAGAAAGTTCTGCAGTATGTCACCGTCCCTGGCCCAGCCTTCTGAGGGGTAGTGTGCTGTGAGCCATGTGGCTCTTGAGGTTCTTAGGGGAAAGGACTGAGAGAGAATGAGAAAATAAAAAAGAGACAAAGCTGGGGTCAGGTAGTGCCTCACTCTTCTGATGGGAGAGAAGGAACTGCTCAACCACTGCAGCACATTTATTTATACCCTCAGACCGAGGATGTCAGTTTCAATCCCGCTGCCTAGTGATTTGTCTGCCTGGTAGACCTGGACCCCTTGCCTTCTCAGAGCTGGAACACCTTGTTTACCTGGCTTGCTTTGGGCTCTCTGTTTTCAGGGCTGGCCTTGCTTTAGCCCCACACGTGTGATCAATCTCCAGCTTCCACGGCTCCCTACAGCAGGGTGCCCTCCAAGCACTGCGATGAACCCCGGCTGGCCTCCCCAGCCATCCTCAGGTGTGTGCAGAGCAGAACTTGTGTATGCAGCAATACGGAGGTGGCTTCCGAGAGCCACACCTTCACTGCCTTTCACATCAGCTCAGGACTGGGCCCCCTCCCATGCATCGGCCACGGGGGACCACTGTGGCTCCCAAGGAAGCCATTTTCCTCCCGCCACACACCTCCATCACTGTCCTTTCCTCCAAGTGCTCCTTCCCAGGGAAGCTGCCCACCCCCTGTGCAATACCCTGGATGCCGCTCTCACAGCTGCAGCTGTGGCATCTTCCTCCTTCACAACACAATTTGTGCTTCCCAAGGGCCCTTCCCTTGACCCTTCCCAAGGCCACCTTCCCTGGTGGCTGCCTGCTCCGCCTCCTCTGTCTTCGAATGTGCCAACAGGGTCTACCCCACCCCAGGCCCCCAAGGCAACAGTCCATTGCCCAGGCAGGCCCAGCCACATGGCCTCCACACAGCAGCAGTATCCCCGTTCTTTCTCAGGACCCGGCACCCACTGGCTGCCTGTGCTTTGCCAGCTGCCCCTCGCCCCCTGCAAAGCTCCATAGCCCAGTCCCTCCTCAGGGCAGCTTCTGCCTTGTATGTCAGGGTGCCTGTCCCCACACCTCTAACAACCCCACCACCCTGTCAGGTGACAAACCTTCACCTGTCAGCTGCTGTCACCTTTAACCCCTGCACAGCTCCCTGGGGTACTGACAGGGTCAGAGCCTGAGGAGAGGCTCAGACAGGAAGGCATATCCCAGAGAGACAGAGACCGGGCTTCAGTGTCACTGAGTCCCCTCACAGGCAGAGCCAGCCACAGTGTGGCAGAGGCTGAGACGGGGAGACTCAGAGACATGCGCTGCTGGTGAGAGCCCCTCACCCCCAACGACTGCTTCTGGACTCAGATAAACAACTTCCCTCAGTCCAAGTAGCCTCTTTGTGCAGGTCTCTGGCTGCGCCCTTCATGTCCCTTCTCCTGCTGCCCTGCAGGCAGTGTCCTCCCTGTGCTGTGCTGTGCTGTGAGCCGGTTAAGGGGAGGGAGGGCAAGGAGAGGGCAGCAGGGCTGGCTCATCTGTGGAGCCAAGTACAGAGTGGCTGGTCTGATCTCACACGGTGCCTGGTGCAGGCCCACCAGCCCGGTGCTAAGAGGAGGGGATGCAGGGCCGAGTGGCTGAGCAGCCGGGGTTACACCGCACAGCAGCAGTATCCACCTTCCTTTCTCAGGGCCCAGCACCCACTGGCTGCCCATGCTCTGCCAGCTGCCTTGCAGCATGAGCACCCAACACCTCCAGTCCATAGGCCACACTTCCACCCAGTTAGAAGACTGGCACTAGCCACTGAATTTCTCTTAAACCGCCCATATGACTTTTAGACAAAGAAGGGGGAAAGCTGAGGGTAGAGGAACAGAAAACTACACTGAAGGTAGACATGAAGATGTAGAAAACCAAAGAAAAACAGAAATAGGACAGCATGGTAAGGCCCCAGCCTGGCACTCTTGGGACAGGGTCTCCCCAGAATCTGCCCCCATGAAGACACTAGAACGGGGCCCTTCTCGATGTTTATTGATCCTGGGAGGAGAGGAACCCAGATCCTCTGGCGTCTCAAGTACCATATACCTGGTGGTGTGCACGGCATCAGCTACCTAGACGTAACAAGAGAAGCAGGTGGGGTCCTGGGTTTTCTCCCTGGACTCAGAAGAGGGAAGGGACTCAGTGATCCTGGGCCTGGGGCCCAGTGAGGCAGGGGCCTCACCCGACACCCGAAGCTCCACCGGCTCGCTGAGCAGCGACTCGAACGCCACAGGCCTCCACCCACGGTATCGGCAGCTGTAGTTGCCTGTGTGTCTGGGCCCCACGGCGATCAGCACCAGGTTGGCCGCGGTGCGCGTGGAGCTGGCCCTCGCCACAGCGTCCTCCTCACCCGCGCGCAGCAGCTCGAAGAGCACGCCGGGCACAGGGCCCTCACAGTGCAGGACGGCGTCGCGGCCCGGGGTCACGGGCGGCCCCAGTATGCGGAGACGGGGCGCCGGCGGAGGCCCTGCGCGGGAGCGGTCAGGTCAGCTGGGACGGGTGGGCGTCACCAGCCGCGCACCCGGCTCTAGGGGAAGGGGAAGGCGCCCACAGAAGGCCCGGGCACCGGGCGGGCTAGATTGGCACGGAAGTGACCCGGGAAGGTGAAGCCCGGTAACCTGCAAGGGCGGGGACAGGGTCACAATGACCGTGACCCACGAGCTTGTAGCACAGAGAAACTGAGGCACTGGCTGGCGAAAAGCCATCAGGAACGGGATCAGGAAAACCTGGGTGCAGCCCTGTGCTGTACGCATTCACGGGTCCGGAACCCGGAGCCGCAGCCCCAGCCCTCTTTATTTTTATTTTCCAGCTGAGCCGCCCTGGTTGGGCATCCACCCGCTACCCGCTCGCCCAAGCTCCCGCAAGCGCGGGTGACACTGCTCGCTCACCGTCTACGCGCAGCTCCAGGCGTGCGCTGCGCGCGGAGCCCACAAAGCGCTGCGCAGGGTCTGTGTAGATGCAGCTGTAGTTTGCCGAGTCGGCCACGGATACGTTGCGCAACTCGAACTCGGCCTCAGCGCCCGCGGGCCGCAGCACAGCCAGCAGCTGGCGTCCCAGCGCGTCCTCGCGCTCCAGTGCCACGCGCAGCCTGGGCCCGGGCACGCGGCAGCGCAGGCGCACGAGGGAGCCGGGCGCGGCGCGCGGGCCCGGGGGGAAGGCGCTCAGCTCCGGTGCGGCCAGCGACCCTGCGGGAGCGGGGCTTAAGCGACGGCGGCCTGGCCTGAGGCCGAGGCGGGAGGGTCGCTCTGCCAGCTGCCCTTGCTCACCGTCGCTGCGCACCAGCTCCACGGGTGCGCTGTTCGCCGACCAGGCCGCGCCGCCGCCACGCGGCAGGTAGCGGCAAGTGTATGGGCCGCTGTCGCCCTCCGCCTTCGGGTCCAGCTCGAAGAAGACGCGGTCCCGGCTGCTGGAGGCCATGGGCACGCGCAGGGTCTCCCCGCGTAGCTGCAGCTCGAAGTCCGCGTCGTTCAGGGGCGCCACGCACTCCAGGGACGCTCGCTCGCCGGGCTGCAGGATCCTGGCGCCGTAGCCCCGGAACTCCAGCGTGGGCGGCGGGGCCTTGGCTGTGGGGAGCGGGGCTGGCACTGAAGCCGGGGCAGGCACCGCGCCCGCCCCCGGGAGCCCTCCATTCCTTCCTCTGGCAGCCCCTGCACTCACCCAGCTCCTCGATGGTCACTGTGTTGCTGGGCTCAGAGAGGCTCCCCGCAGCGTGGGTCCGGTACCTACAGCTGTAGTTGCCAGCCCGGTGGACGGGGAAGGTGGCCTCTCTGTCCACTCCCGCCTTGGCCACCGCAGAAGACGCGTGATCACCTTCCCGCATCAGCAGAAAGGTCGCACCATGCCAGACAGTGTGGCACCGCAGGGTTGAGTTGAGGCCGGGTGTGATCCAGGACACAGGCTCAGCAGAGAGCCGGGGCGGGGGCAGGGGCTCTGCGGAAGGGCAGGCTCAGAAAGGTGGCTCTGTGGAGCTGGATCCCATGCTGAACATGGGAAGGAACAGGCACAGGGCACGTGGTACGCTAGACCCCATCCCACAGGTGGGGAAACTGAGGCTCGGGCGTTGAGCAATGCGGAGGGCGGCCCCAAAAGTGCCCTGCTCACCTGTGCCTGTCACCTCCAGGAGGTCACTCAGCTGGGTCCAGCGTTCACCCAGGCCTGTGCGGCAGTGGTAGAGGCCCCGGTTGTCCATGGTCACCTTGCCCAGCACAAACTGGTGGGCGATGGCGGGGATGGCAAGGTGCACAGGCTCCAGCGCCACCCCGTCTTTGAACAACTGGAAGTCCTGGGTCTCCATGCGTGCACGGCAGGTCAGCCTGAGCTGGGCCCACGGCTCCATCAGTGAGGCTGACTCTGCCCAGAGCTTTGGCTGGGTCTCAATCACTGTGGATGGAGGAACCATGGAGTCCATAGGAGCTGCAGAGACCCGACTGCCCACAGCCCTGTCCAGCCCCTGGACTCACCCACGGCCGCCTCATTCGCCGGGCCCAGGGCGAGACCTGTGGAGACAGTGTGGCCATGAGGCCCCATTCATTCCCCTGCCCAGGGACCCGGGCTGGGATATCTTACCCCAGAGCAGCAGGAAGCCCACCAGGGCCACCATAGCACCGACCCTTGATCCACCGCCAACGGGCACCTGAATGGGTACCTATAGGGCAAGTGGCCGGGGACACTGCCCTGTCCCCTATTTGTCTTCCCTGGGTGGTGGGGGACAAAGGGCGAACCTGTCAGCCCAGTTTGGGATACTCAGCAGTAATGGTAATCAATAAATAGTGGATCATTAACACTAAATTAACAAAATGTAAGGAAGAAGAGGCACACATTTGTCATTGAGCTACTTGGGAGGCCAAGGCAGTCGGGGCAATTTAGCAAGGCCTTGTGCCAAAATAAAATGTTCAAAGGGCTGAGGATGCAGAACAGTGGTTGAGTGCTTGCCTAGTGTGTGCAAGGCTCTGGGTTTGCACTCCTGTATCAGGAGAGGGGCACAATCAAATCCTATTCTTGGGTTGGCGCTGGGATCCATAGCCCGGTGGGAACCCCACATCTGTGGAAAGACCTCTGTTGAGCCCCATTTGTACTCAGGATGCTGAGCCCAGACCTGTGCTCACCCCAAGTGACAGAAACTCAGGACATACATGCTCAGGGCTGCAGCCTTCTGAGGGATCTGCCTGGCAGGACAGGGTGGTGGCGGGGTGGGGGGGGGCCTGGTCTCAGCTAGAACGAAGGTGCAGGGAACCCATTCCACATGCTCTGCCGTCAGCCTCCACTGTCCTCCCTCCTCTCCACACTGCTGAGCATCTCTGGGAAGGCATCGACCGAGTGCTTCCCTTGTGGACAGGAGGCAGGAGATGGGTGATGCCCTGACAGTCTCACATTCTGATGGCATGACGGGGAGAGAGGGCTTACCACGGTCACCTCTGTGAGGCCTTGACCTTCAGCCCTACCTGCAGATGGGAAGGTGTTGTACAACTTTGGTTCCACTAGAGGGGCAGCAGACTGTCACTGCCAGCTCTTGTGCTTGGTCCTGAAAGATCACGGCTCCTATTGGAACCCAAGTCCTCAACCCTCTCTGGTAGATGCCCCCTTTACAGAACTCATATTTCCAGCCTCAGCCCTGAGCCCAGGACACACATGTTGCTTGGGCCAGGCCCTGGTTGTCAGCAATGGGGCTGCCACAGACGGGACTCTTTGCAGTCTGACCCTCTGCTTCCATCATAGCTCCCACTGCTCTGCCACTGCTGCAGCCACCAGGCCATCAGCTCACCCAGAACCACTCACCACATCCACAGAAAAGTGCAAGGTGGCAAACATCCGTGTTTTTAAAACTTCACGTTTTGGGGAAATTTCTTTTTTTAATTTTATTTAAAAGGAAAAAGAAAAAACAAAACAAAGCAGTGTAAGGTTACAGAACTACAAAAAAAAAAAAAAACAGTAACAAATCACCAGTTAATAGATTACATATTATCATCTTAGAGATAGTTGCTCAAGTCACAGTATCAAAGAATACAAAGTGGACATTCAAACAGTGAGACTGCAAACAGTTGTGTTCAATGATCCAACCAAAAACATTAATATGGTCAGCTATTTAATACCCCTAAACACACTTACTGTTGTATCTTTTAGAGCACTTTTTTCCTTCTCTTTTTTACAACAAAATTTACACATTTTGGGTTTTATTACTCCTTAGTTCTTATTACTTTTGGGGGGGGGGATAAAGTCAAATATGGCAAAACAAAGCTGTCAGTCAAAACCAAGGATAGACATAGCACATGATGTAAAAACAGAGTACAAGGTTATCAACAATGGTTACCATAGTGTCTCTTGTTTCCTTAAAAAGAATTGTCTATCTCATTAGGTATTATAAAGTTGAACAAAACAGTAGAGAACAAGACCAATAAAACTTAAGCATTGTAAACATTAGAGGACTTCCAAAGGAGACAATAGTCAAACCAGAATGGGCATCTTAGTGAATCTTATTGCCTTCAAAGTAGTTGCCTATACCCTCAAATTTGATACTATCATACAGAATGGAACAGAGTCTAATCAGTCAAAACAAGATAGTGGGAGTATTACAGGACTTCAAAACAAGTTAATAGGAAATTTAAAAAGGTACTATTATATATTCTGCTAATTTTTAAAATTTTTCCCCTTAATTAAAAAAACCATAAAAAATAACTAAATAATTTTTAACGAATAAGGGAGAGATTGAGATAAAAGAGGACATAACTATATAACAATACAGGTCAAAGCATGACTGTTTCAGAAACCTAGTGCTTCACCACCAAATAACCCAACTTAATAGTAGTTACCATAGTGTCTGTCTTTTTCCTTGAAATATTTCAATAAAACTTCATATACTGTAGCTTCAAATAGTTCCAATATCAAGAAGCCCAGAATAAAGCCTTTCCAATTAATAAGTGAAAACTTTACAAGGCTTCAAGGCCACATGCTGGGAAATCATGATTACCACATACTTTTATATATTTGAATCATTAATTACATTAGGGAAACTATTCAGTATTTACACATGCGAGATTGATTTATTTCACTTATGAGTATGGTCTCAAGCTGGCCCATTTATTGATAAATATCTCAATGTGATCATTCTTTATAGCTGAGTAGTACTCCATTGTATAGAAATACCACAACTTTTTTATCCATTCCTCAGTAGATGGACACTTGGGTAGTTTCCAAGATCTGGCGATTACAAATTGTGCTGCTATAAACATAGGGGCACATATATCACTGTGGTATGATGCTTTCAGTTCTTCTGGGAATATGCCTAGAAGTGGAATAGCCGGAATAAATGGGACTTCCTATTCCAGCTTCTTGAGAAATCTCCAGACTGACCTCCACAAAGGTTGTACCAGTCTACACTCCCACCAACAGTGCAGGAGAGTTCCATTTTCCCCATAGCCTCTCCAGCATTTGTTGTTGTTGGTTTTCTTGATCCTGGCCATTCTTTCAGGAGTGAGATGGTATCTCAGTGTGATTTTAATTTTCATTTCTCTAATGACCAATGATGATGAGCATTTCTTCATGTATTTATTTGCCATTTGTATTTCTTCATCTGAGAAGTGCGTATTCATCTCAGATGCCCATTTTTGGATTGGATCTTTGAATTTTGGGGGTCTGAGTTTTTTTAATTCTTTATATGTTTTAGACAAGAGTCCCTTGTCTGAGAGAGAGTTCACTAAAATCTTTTCCCAGTTTGTGGGTTTTCTTTTCACTATGCTGGAGATTTCTTTTGACATGCAGAAACTTTTGAATAAGAAGTGGTCCCAGTTATTGATTCTGGGAAGTATTTCCCATGCGGTTTGAGTCCTGTTCATGAATTCTCTACCTACTCCTATGTCTTCAAGGTTTCTACCCAATTTGTCTTCCAATAGATTTAGTGTTTCTGTTTTAATATTCAGATCTTTGACCCATTTAGATTTTAATTTAGTACATGGTGATAGACATGGGTCTAGCTTTAGTTTTCAGCAAATGGAGAGCCAGTATTTCCAGCACCATTTATTAAAGAGACTGTCGTTCTTCCAATGAACCTGTTTGGCTCCTTTATCAAAGATAAGGTGGTTGAGTGTGTTTGTAGTTGTGGTTGTATCTTCTAATCTATTCCATTGATCTTCGGCTCTGTTTTGATTCCAATACCATGTTGATTTTACTACTGTTGCTTTGTAGTACAACTTCAAGTCAGGGATTGTGATGCCTCCTGCCTTGCCTTTGATGCTTAGAATTGCCTTTGCTATTCTAGGTCTCTTCTGGGTTCCAGATGAATTTTAGGAGTGATATCTCTAGATTTATAAGGTATGTTGATGGTATTTTTATTGGGATTGCATTGAATCTGTATAACAGTTTTGGGAGAATGGCCATTTTCACAATGTTTGTTCTTCCTATCCATGAGCAAGGGATGTCTTTCCATTTTCTGAGATCATCTTCAATTTCTTCCTTAGAGTATTATAATTTTCCTTGTATAGGTCTTTCACTTCTTTCATAAGAGTAATTCCTAAATATTTCATTTTTTTGCTTGTTAACGTGAAGAGTGTGCTTTCTCTTATTTCCCTCTCTGTAATTTTCTTGTTTGTGTATAGGAAGGCTATTGATTTTGTAGCCAGCTACATTACTGAATTTATTTATTGTATCTAAGAGTCTTTTAATGGAGTTTAGGGGGTCTTCTATGTAGAGTATCATGTCATATGCGAACAATGATAATTTAACTTCTTCTTTTCCTATCTTTACCCCTTTTATTTCTCTCTCTTGCCTAATTGCCCTGGCTAGTACTTCCAGTACTATATTAAATAGGAGTGTTGATAAAGGACATCCTTGTCTTGTGCCTAATTTTAAAGTAAAGGCTTTAAATTTTTGGCCATTTAGTATGATACTCGCTGTTGGTTTGTCATAGACAGCCTTTATTATATTGAGGTAAAGACCATCTATTCCAATTTTCTGTAAAGTTCTTATCATGAATGAATGTTGGACCTTATCAAAGGCTTTTTCTGCATCTATAGAAATGATCATGTGATTCTTACTTTTGGCTTTATTGGTATGGTTACATTTATTGATTTACGTATGTTGAACCATCCTTGTATTCCTGGGATGAATCCCACTTGGTCATGATTTATAATCTTCCTGATGATTTGCTGCATCCTATTTGCCAATGTTTTACTGAGGATTTTTGCATCTGTGTTCATTAGGGAGATCAGTCTATAGTTCTCTTTTTTAGTTGGGTCTTTCTCAGGTTTTGGTACTAGAGTAATATTTGCTTCCAGGAATGACTTAGGAAGGATTGCTTCCCTTTCAATTTCATTGAATAGTTTGAGGAGTGTCGGCATTAGGTCTTCTTTGTATTTCTTGTAGAATTCTGCAGTGAATCCATCTGGGCCTGGGCTCTTCTTTGTAGGTAAGGACTTAATTACATTTTCAATTTCATTAACAGAGATTGGGTTATTCAACAGTTTTACATCCTCTTGATCTAGCTTTGGTACTTCATATGTTTCTAACAATCTGTCTATTTCTTCTGTGTTGTCAAACCTTTGAGAGAAGAGGTTTTCGAAATAGGTGTTGATGATCTTGTGTATTTCTATTGGGCCTGTAGTGATTTCACCTTTTTCATTTCTTATTGCATGAATTTGAGCTTTTTCTTCCCTTTTTAAAATAAGGTTAGCTAGGGGCTTATCAATTTTATTTATTCTTTCAAAGAACCAACTCTTTGATTTGTTGTTGGATTGTTTTCTTAGTCTCTATTGCATTGATTTCTGGTCTGATTTTTATAATTTCCTCTCTTCTTTTGGCTTTGGGCTTCACTTGCTCTTCTTTTTCTAGCTGTTTGAGGTGTAGCATCAATTTATTTATTTGTATTTTTTCTGATTTCCTGATGTGGGAACTCAGTGCAATAAATTTTCCTCTGAGGACAGCTTTCATTGCATCCCACAAATTCCAGTAAGTTGTATCTGCATTTTCATTTTCTTTTAGGTATTGTTTAATTTCTTCTGTGACCCACTGATCACTCAAGAGTGTATTATTCAGTTTCCATGTATTTGCGGGATTTTTGCAGTATCTTTTATCATTAATTTCTAATTTCAGAGCGCTATGATCCGATAACTTGCAAGGGATGACTTCAAGTCTTTTGCATTTGTTTAAATATGTTCTGTGAGCCAATATATGGTCTACTTTAGAGAATGATCCATGTACTGCTCAGAAGAATGTGTATTCTGATGTTTTTGGGTGGAACATTCTGTATATGTCTATCAAATCCATTTGTTCGCAGGTGTGATTCAGTTCTTTTATTTCTTTGCTCATTTTTTGTTTGGTTGATCTGTCCCTTGGTGTCAGTGGTCTCGTATTACAATTGTGTTACTGATAATTTGAGTTTTCATTTCTGTTAATAGTTGTTTTATATAACTGGGTGCTCTGGAGTTCGGTGCATATATATTTAAGATAGTTATCACTTCCTCTTAGAGTTTTCCCCTGACCAGTATATAGTGACCTTCTTTGTCCTTTATGGTCATTGTTGGTTTAAAGTTCACGTTGTCTGCAAACAGAATGGCTACTCCTGCCTTTTTTTGGATTCATGCTGCATGAAGTATTGTTGTCCATCCTTTGACTTTCAGTCTGTGAGTATCCTTCTGGGTTAGATGGGTTTCCTGTAAACAGCATATGGTTGGATTTTGTTTCTTGATCCATTCTGCTAGTCTGTTTCTTTTGATTGGTGCATTGAGACCATTTACATTAATGGTTATTACTGTTAAATGCTGGTTTACTGTTGACATGTTATCTCTCTGCTGTTGCATCTTTATCTTTCTGTTCTGTTTAATTATCTGCTTTGCTTAGTGGTTTTTTCCTTTGTGTATCTAAACTGTCTTTCAATATTTTTTGCAGGGTTGGTTTGGTGTTCATGAAGTTCTTCAGCTGTACTTTGTCATGGAAGTATCGTATTTCACCATCAGTTTTGACTGATATTTTTCAGGATACATCAGTCTAGGTTGGAAATCATTTTGCTTTAGGATCTGGAATACTTCACTCCATTCTCTTCTTGACTTTATTGTTTGTGCTGAGAAGTCTGCTGTGATTCTGATAGGTTTTCCTTTATAAGTGATCTGTCTTTTCTCTCTGACAGCTTTTAATAATCTATTCTTGTGTTGGATTTCTGGGATGGTGATTATTATATGTCTGGGTGTAGTTTTATTTTGGTTATGACTATTTGGAGTTCTATATGCTTCACTGATCTTGGTGTCATTTTCTGATCTCATGCTTGTGAAATTTTCAGCTATTACTTCTCTAAATATCCTCTTGACATCCTTTATGTTGTCTCTTTTTTCATTAATCCCTATCATTCTTATGTTATTTTTCTTTGCATCATCTTGCATTTGTTGAATTGTTGTTTCCTGATTCCTTGTTATTTTTAAAAGATCTTTCCTTTCCTGTTCACTAGCTGCAATCCTGTCTTCGAGGTCTGAAATTCTATCTTCACTTTCATTGAGGCGGTTTTTACAACTTTCAGTGGAGTTTTTTATTTCCTGTATATCTCTGTTCATCTGCATTATGTATTCTGTTTGTTTCTTATATTGCTCATCTAGGGATTCTATCTTTTTGTTTAGTTTCTCCAATTTTTAAACTGTGTTTTCTTTAGATGTATTCAGAATCTCTTTCATTTCTTTTATCATTTCTTCTTTTACCTGGGAGATTATTTCGAGTTTGAATTTCTTTAAAGCTTCCTGGAGTTGCTTGTTAATTTCAGTAGCTATTGTGTCCGATATTTGAGGTGAATGGCATATATTTTCTCCTATATACATTGCTCCTAGGGTTTCTTGAGATGGGCTGGAGGTTTGAGGTTGTCATTTGGTCTTTTGTTTTGTCATTTTCCTACATTTCTGTGTTTCAAATGTTTTTTGAAAGCTTCCTCAAGGTCTGTTGGAAATCCCCTTCTATGTTCGCAGCTCCTGAGACTCTGGCACCCCGTTACCCCAAGCCACTGGGCCTGTGGAACCAATAGCCCTCTTCTGCCTGTTTAGAACTCTGTAGTTCCAGATAAGCTCGGCTTCAGGGACACGGTGCGCCCCCCTGCTTGTTGGAAGCTCCACAGTTCTCCAAGCACAGCTGGGATGGGGAGGCGGGTGTAGATGCCTCAAACCCACCTCTCCACTTCACTGCACCTGGAAGCCTGGAGGGTCCCAAACAGTCTGGGCTTTGGCCAGTGTGTGCTGAGCACTACCACTGGCCGCGGGGCCTCTGGAACCTGCGATGCTCCCCTGCTTGTTGAGGTATCCACAGTCCTCCAGACACATGGGGAGGTGGATGTAGGTGCCCCAGATCCGCCCAGCCCCTCCTCTGCACACTGATGGTGAGGTCCAGGAATCTCAAATAGGCTGGTCTCTGGGGATAGCCTGTGCCCGCCTACTTGTTGGAAGCTCCACAGTTCTCCAAGCACAGCCGGGATGGGGAGGCGGATGTAGATGCTTCAAACCACTTATCCACTTCACTGCACCCAGAAGCCTGGAGGGTCCCAAACAGTGTGGGCTTTGGGCAGAGTGCGCTGAGCACTTACTACAGGCCGAGGGGCCTCTGGAACCTGCGATGCTCCCCTGCTTGCTGAGATATCCTCAGTCCTCCAGACACACAGGGAGGCGGATATAGGTCCGCCCAGCCCCTCCTGTGTACACGGATGGTGAGGTGCAGGAGTCCCCTGGGGAAATTTCTAAGTGGAAAATTCATGCTCTAGTACAGACCCTGTGTGCTCAGAGAGGGCCTGTTCCCCCTCAGGACCCTTGGCAGTTGCCCCTGTGGTGACTGCCTATCTATCCAGCTTGACCTTGCTGATTTTGCCAGGGTACAAGAGCATTAGCAAGAGCCCCAAAATGCAGAACTTGCAAAGAATGCAAGAAACCAGTGTGCAACTGCACACTGTGGGCAGGATGGACAGCCCAGTGGCCAGCTGTGTTATTTTTATTTTCTGCATGTTTGATGTTCTGACTCTTTGGAAACCCCCACAGCACTTGGGAACCTGAGACAGGAGACTGCTGGAACCCGGGAGCTGGAGGACATGTCTTGAGAGCAGCAACAAGCGAGGAGTGTCCTTTGGAGCTGCCCTTCCACCCAGAAGCACATCCTTCTGCTTCAGTCCTTGGGTCAATTTCACAAGACCACAGCATGCAGGTGAGGGTCAGCGATACTAAAGTGTGTGCACACAGTTATAAGTCACCCAGCACCCCTGATCCACCCAGCAAGAAGTGGAGTAAGCCCCCTCCCATTCAAGCCCTGCCTCCCCACATTCTGTGCCACCCCACTGGCCACACCCAGCCCTCACCTACTGGAGGATTCGGTAATCAATGCTCATAGGATCCGTGGAGTAACAGACTGCTGAGGCTGAGTCAAGGCTCCACCCGAGGTTACTACTGTTGTGCACACAGTGAGGTGGGTTTTCTTTGCTTTGGTGATGGGATTGAGGATTGAACCAAGGACCGCTGCACTGAGCAACATACAAGCCCTTTATTTTATATTTTGAGTTGGGTCTCCCTAAATTGCCCAGGCTGGGCTTAAATTTATGATGCTCCTGCCCCCTTGCCTCTGGAATCATGAGGGTTACACATGTATCACCATGCCCTACTTCACAGAGTGAGGTTCAGTGAAGGTGCTGATGTTTTCCATGTTGCCTTCAGGAGCAAGCTGCAATGGTCAGGTCAGGTTCCACATCACAGGCACGAGTGAGCTGGGGCTGGAGGCCTCTCTCTGGGCACTGAGGTCTCCAGTCCTCACTTTGCTTCCAAGGAAAACCCTGTAGAAGGTCAACTGCAGAGCTTTCAGAAAGCTCACAGGAACAAAGACACCACTGGGCTGGTGGTGTGAGGGAATCTGGAGCTCCACAACGGCTCCAGGCTCTCCATCAAGAGCCGACCTGCAGCTCAGGCTTCTGTCCTGTTGCAGCCAAGTTCTAGCTCCAGCCACACACCAGGCCATAATGCTGGATGGAGCTGCTGTTCTCATGCCCAGTCTGCACGTCAAGGAAAGAACAGGGCCCTGGGCCAATGCCCAGCACAATCTCCAGAGCCTCCAGGACTCCAAGCCTGACAACACCCTGGAGTGGAGAAGACTTCTAACCACAAAGACAGTCACTGATTCCCATACAGTCCATGGATAGGTGGCCTGTAATCCCAACATTTGGGAGGCTAAGGCAAGAGGATCACAAGTTTGAAGCCAGCGTCAGATATATAGCAAGACCCTGTCTCAAAAAGAGAAGGAAAAAGAGAGAGGGGAGGGAGGGAGAGAGAGAGAGAAAGAAAAACACAATCTGGAATATATGTAATTTGGCAAAGGTTCTTTGCAGATGTAGGTATCTTGACAATAGATCATCCTGAATAATCCAAGTGAATCCTAAATCCAAAAACAACTTTTTTTTTGAGATCTTTTTTTGGGGGACCTTGCTTTGTAGTTCAAGCTGAATTTGAACTTGCTATGTAGTTGAGGCCGGCTTCAGTGACCCTCCTGCCTCAGCCTCCCAAGTGCTGAGGTTATAGGCATGTATCACCATGACTGGCTTCAACAAGTGTCCTTATGAGATGGAGACTGAGAATTCTGATACAAAGAGGAGGACATGTGAATTTGGAGGCCAGCCTGGAGAGACACACCCACATTCTGAAGAAAACCTGGAGCTACCAGAGATCAGAGAGGCAATGATTCTGGCACACAGTATGACAAATACCTTGTCCCCTCACACATACAACTTTATTTTGAGACAGGGTCTCACTAAGTGTTCACTTGCCCAGGCTGGACTTGAACTTATCATTTTATTTATTTATTTTGGTGTTTTGAGACAGGGCTTCACTGTGTAGTGCAGACTGGTCTTGAACTCAGTATGTAGTCCTTGCTGGTGTTGAATTTATGGTAACCCTCTTGCCTCAGCCTCCCAAACTACTGGAATTATGAGTATGTGCTACCCAGGCCCAACTCTAGACCTGTGAAAATAAATCTCTTGCTCAGCTATTTCAAAGAAGGAGACATTATGGTACTTACTGTTAATTTTGAGTTTTCTTGTTGTAAAATGCTGTGTTACTTGCATTGTTCTGATCTGATCTGCCTTGTTATGTCCTCTTTTGTCTTAATCTCTTTAAAATAAAATTAGAAAAATAAAATTCATACTATTATAAAAAAGCAAATAAATCTCTGTTGTATTAAGTCATCCAGCTTATGATAGGTAATAACACTGTGTGGCAACATCCCAAGAGACCCAGGCGATGGGAAAGATCAGATTTATTCCATCTACCTGCAGGCTGGCTGACATCGGAGCAGTATCAGCAGATATCTGAAGGGAAATCTGAGTATGCACAGGATGTTTGGATTAGGGTCGGAATTTCAAAGAGTTGGGATGAAGGGTTTGAAGTCAAAACTGCATCAGCACAGGTGTGTATTCAGAAATGGTGCCAAGAGGACTTCAGGGCTGGCCCTAAACTTCTTTTTGGTCCTTCTCATTTGCAGAGGTCAGGCTGTGGTCATTACTGGACAGTCTACTGTTTGTAGTGAGCAGCCTAGGTCTCAGGTCAGGCCTGACTGTCACCAGCCACAGAAAGCTAGAGACTAGTCCAGCACCCCCAGATAGAACAGAGGGGTTGGGGCTTGTCTAGCCACTGACCCTAGCCACTGAGTAAATTCTTGGTGCGGCTAAAAAGATAAGAAATATGAAATAAAAGTGGCCTTTATTTTAAGAATGCGGAGAGAGACTCCATGACCTCTGGGGTCTGGCTTTCTCTCTGCCAGACACATGGTGTGGAGGCATACAAGTAGCTTAGGTTTGGGGTGGAGCCTAAGGGACATTACTGATGCACAACTAGCCCATTGGAATTTATTTCGTGCCACAGGTAAATTGCTTAGGGGTAGGGAAGATGACCTTTCGCCTCCCACCACTACAGCGTCTCATTTAGGGCAAAATCCTTTCACTGAGAACACAGGGGACCCCTTAGTGCCTGGACCATAATCGGGAGAAGCCCGGTGTCCAGGGAAGGGCCTGGCTTCCACCAACAAGACGAAGCCTTGAGCTGAGGGTGTGGGATGAGGACGTGCGGGAGCCCTCGCCAGCTTGCGGCAGCACCAACCACTGCCGTGCGCAGACCCCTAGGGCCCCCGGCTGCGGCGCGGCCACCACGGCCAGGGGCGGAGGGCACAAGGCCAGGGCTGCACTGGGATGGGGCTCAGGGATCGCCAGGAGTCATGAGCAGCAAGAGACCTCCCCTCACGGCCTTCCGTACGGCGCCCAGTTTGGACCCGAAGGAGCCAATGGCTCGAGCGCCCGAACCTGTCAGGACCGTGCGTGCGGGCTGGAAGTGTGCTATAGCACTCCCTCAGACCGTGAGCCTGGATGGAAGGGCGGCTCCCGCTGGAACCCCTAGAAGGCTGAGCTCCAGGTCCACGCAGAATGTCACTTCCGATACGCGAGGCGGAGCCTTCCTCTGGCGCCTTGGCGCTGTGGACTGGGCACCACCGTGAGTGCCAACGAGAGTCGCGCTGGGCCCTGTGGAAAACGTAATTTAACTGCAACAGCTCCCAAGCCGACTGGGAAGCCCGGGAAAACCTCCCGAAGTCCTGACAATTGAGTCAGAGGTGCGCAAGCGTGCATCGAGGTCAAGGAGATGGCCTCGGTACGAGCGCCTGCTGTCCCAGCCTTGCTCCACTAGACGGCGCGCGCCTTTAAATCCAGCACCCTCAGAGTCTAAGGCAGAGCATTGAAAGCTGGATCCTAGCCTGGACAAATTAGGTGTTTAGCAAGGCTCTGTTTCAAAATTTAAAAAAATTTTTAAAAAGAGCTGACTTGTAGCTGAGTTCTCTACAAGTTTAGTTCCCAGTACCATAAAGAAAAGCAACCTTTTATTGTAGGGAAGATGTGTTGAGGGTTCTATGGAACCACATTTACAGCCCTACCTCAAGAATCTTGAAAACTGTAAAAAGGAGAGAGATACAGTAAGGAATTTCAGCAAGAGCAGAAGGCAACTAGCTCCGTAGGTGGGGTGGTTGGAGACCACCTCCTTGCCATCCCGAACTTAGGTCCTCCTCCTCTCACATTCCCAGATTTTTGAATGTGACTTTTTTTTTTCTTTTTGAGACAGGGTCTCACTATGCAGTTCAGGCTGGCCTTGAGTTCACTTTGTAGCCTAGGCTGGTCTCGAACTCACAATGATCCTCCTGCCTCAGCCTCCCCAGTGCTGGGATTACAGGTGTGAGCCACCACGCCCAGCGAGTGTGACTTCTAAACCACCAGATAATGTGCATCCACCAGGGTTATGGAGATACACATCTGTAATCCCAGCTTCCTGGAAGGCTGAGACAGGAGGCTCTTGATTTTCAGGTCACTCTGGGCAACTTTGTGATTTAGTGTGGCTTGTCTCAAAAGTAAAAAATAAAAAATGTTCAGGAGGTAATTCAGTGGTAGAGCATCCCTGATTTCAGTCTCCAGTACTACTGCACACACACACACACACAATGTGTGTTGGTTTCTGCCACATTTGTGGTAACCTGTTATAGCAGCAAACAGGAAACTAATATAGTCCCTAGGAGGGTCCAGGTAGGAGGGAGTGACATTTTTTACCCATGGTCTTTCTTTCTTTTGTGCAGAGGAAGGGCAGGCCTCAGGTTCACAACCTCTCTGCCTTCAACATCACACATTCTTCAATTACAATAGTCCTTTCTGGAAGCTTATGTGATGCTGGCTTTGTTTTGAGTGGTGCTATCAAGTTTCCCTTTCAATAGATGATCTAAGTTAAAAAAAACAAGTGAGTTGATGTAAATTAGTGGATCTGTGCTTGGTGTCATTTTGCAATTTCTGGAGATACTTTGGGTTTTCACAGCTAGGGGATGAGTGAAAGTACCAGCAACCATGAGTCAAGGTCTTGCTGAAACACAAATCTGACACCCACAACTGTAAGAAGAGGCTTATTTTTGTTCACAGTTGACAGAGGTTTCCATTCATAACAGCTGGCTCCAAGGCAGGCCAGCATGGCACAGGAGTGTGGCAGAGGAGGGTTGCTCATAGCTTAGCAGCAGGAAGCAGAGAGTGATCAAGGGAGAAGGGAGATAGACCTTTCCAGGCCATGCCCCCAGTGGCCACAGGCTTCATTTTCCAATATTACACTTAGCGGTCAGTAGACTAATCTAGTGATGCGTATTATACTCTTATGTCCTAATCACCTCCCTCAACCCAGCTATGAGCACAAGGCTTTGGTGCACAGCTAGATATAAACTAGAACAGATGCTGTTAATTGACTTGTAATGCACAAGACAAAAGGGCAGTAGTGGTGCAGTCACAAGACTCTGATGAGAGAAACAGTACCGATGGCACAAGGGAGAGGCAAGGATTGTCCAGGAAGGACTGAACTTGGGCAAGGTAGCTCAGTGCACCAATCTTAGAGCCAGAGAGCAAAGGGCAAGTATTGTATGCTTCTGTTTCTGAGAAATAGCCAAAACAAGCAAAGCAGGAGAGGGAGTATAGCTAATGGGTTCAGTCCCCAGTACTGCTAAATACATAAATAATAAAAGGAAAGGAACTGAAGCAGCAGATTGGGTGGCTCGCAGTGACGGGAAGGCATGGACACTCAGGTGCCCAGGATGCCAAAGCCTGTCCTGTGTCCTCTCCTTTGGGCACCACCTGTAAGCTCACAACTAGGAAGCAGAGCCTGCAGGATACAGGCACCGTCTAACTGGGAAGGGCCCCATCTTCCTGGGCCCAATGGGAGGAGATTGGTTCCAGCCAAATGAACATACAGGGATAAATTCAAGTGTGCATCCAAGGAGGAACTGGGTGAGCTCTGCAAAACCCTGAAACCAGGAAGCATCCTGGAGTCCCTGGTGGCTACAAGCTAAACAGATTGATTCTTAGTGTCATGTTAAATTGTGATGGGCCACAGCCGCCTGTCCCTTTACACGTGGGGAGATGGGAACAGGGGAAGCTAGCTTCAGAAGGAAATGGCAGCATGGACCGGGCCAAATTCCTAGTGTTTGGATCTTCAGGAACCTTCATGCCCAGAGTTGCTGCAGGGCTGCATATGTGTGTGCGTGTGGTCAGTACCAAGATCCTGCAAGCAACTAACCATTGCACTGCACCCCCAGCCTCCTCTATTCTTGGTGCCCCAAGTGAGGGGAGATAATGCCATCCATCATCTCTGCCCAAGTACACTCTCTCTCTCACACCCAGATAATACATGGTACCAATTTACAGCTGCACAAACTAGAAACCTGGGGGGGGGGGGGGCCCACTGTCAGGCTGCCCAGCAAGGGGCCAGCCTTGGGCACCTGTCACTGATGCAGCTCCAGAATTTTCCTTCCTCAAACAAATTGGAGCAAGCTACCCACTGCTGGCAGCCCAGTGAGGACAATACTCAGTGGCTGTGCAGTCATAGAGGCCGCCCAAAGGCTAGGAGGAGACAGCGGCTATCCTAAAGTGAGCACACCCCTTGTTCTCTGGCCTTGTTTCTCTAGTAGAGGTCTGGGGTCCAGGCCAGCCTCTCACAATTGTAAGTCAAGGTTGCTGGATGGGTGGTGTTTCCTCTGAAGAGGGAGGAGACTCAGAAGAAGAATCCTTCCTGGGTCTGGGTCATGCCAGACTCGGGAAAGGATCAACTGAAGCTGATGGGTACTTGGGCAGGGGGCACTGGGACTTGAACTCAAGACCCTGAGCTTGCCAGGCAGCCATTGTACCACTGAGCTCTATCCCTGGCCCATGATGGGCATTTTGTATGTGCAGGCACCTCAGCACAGCACAGCAGACAGTGCAGAGAGGAGAGGCCAGCTCAGGTGGGACAGGTCACACTCTGTCCAGGGACCTGAAGAGCCCCTTTCCCCCTTTGCTGGGTCACCCTGGACAGATTATTTCACCTCATCAGACCCCCATGAGTACATAAATAGGATGTCTACCTTTTAAGTTTGTTCTGAAAGGTAAATGATATGACTCCTAGACATCTATAAATGTCCTCCTGGACTCAGGGAGGGCCCTACCTGTGGGTGACTGGCTAGGAGGTGGCCAGGAAAGGAGGTAGGAGGTATGACATCCTAAATTGTCACCTTTAGCTTGTCATGAAGTCTCTCTAAGAAAGTGACAAGAAAGAAAAGGCCAAAGATGGCAGAGGGTGACTGTAGGCAATTGGTGGGCAACTTGTGACACCCAGCTGAACTGAAGCAGCATGGTGCTGGGTGTGGAGGGCCCCCCTGAGGACTATTGCCAACAACATGAAAAGGAGACCTAGAGAGGAAGAAGTGGTGCTGTTGGTTCTACTGGAGGAGCTTGTCGAGCTTCTTTCCTGATATGAACTTGGCTTCTCATGGTCAGAGGAGCCCAGGACCTTGTTGTCACTGCGAATGGCTGTGGCACACTTTAGGGGAGCTCTGATCCTTACTCTGGACATCACTTCCTGGCTTACCCTCTTGGCACAGATCCTTCATCCCAGTAACACTGACTTCCCAGCTTTCACTGCTGACCTTTGGGCCTTTCCAGTGCAGACCTGTGAAACAGACTTGCATTAAGCACTGTCATGGCTCCCAGGTCTTCATCTGGACTCATGCAGAACAACACTGTGTGGGATCCAGGCCCTCAGCTGGATTCTTTGGGTCTTTAGTGTGTGGACAGACTTCCTGCACTCTTTATTTCATTCTTTGGGTAACTATTCTAAAATAATACTATAAAGTATATGTCCTGTATTAAACTGTTTCCCTTGCAAACCCTGACTACAACAGTGTTTTTTGGGTATTTGGGGTATATTAGTTTCTTGTGGCTGTTATAATACCACCAACTTGATGGCTTAAAATGACAGTTTATTCATGCAGAGAAAGAAGTGTCAAGAGTTGGAGGCCCTAGGGAAGAATCCTTCCTTTCTTCTTCCAGCTTTGGATGGCTCTAAGCATCCATTCCTCAGCTTGGGGCCACAGGTTCCAACCTCTTCCTCTGGGATCACAGAGGCCCTGACCTCCTCCTCCTCCTTTTTTTTTTTTTTTTTTTTTTTTTTTTTTTGTGGTACTGGGCATTGAACCCAAAGCTTTCACACTGAGCTACACTCCCACCCCTTTTTATTTTGAGACTGGGTCTCACCAAATTTTCCTGATGGGATTTAAATTTGTGTTCCTGGTGGGTGTGGTGGTATACACCTGAGCCCAGCACTTGGGAGGGTGAGGCAGGAGAATCATTGTAAATTCAAAGCCAGCCTGAAATACAGAGCAAGACCTTGTCTCAAAAAGATAAAAAAAAAAAATCTTACCTCAGCCTCCCCCAGTGCTAGGATAACATGCATGTGCTGCCACACTTTGCTCTTTCTTCTCTTTTAGAGAACATCTGTCATTGGATTTAAGGTTCAACCTGGTAATCTAGGGTAATCTCATTTTAACATGCTTAATTAAATGATATCTGCAACTATAATCCCAGCACTTAGGAGGCTGAGGCAGGAGAGGCACAGTAAGTTCCAAACTAGTTTGGGTTAGTGAGTTCAAAGTCAATCTAGACTACATAGCAGGAGCCTGTCTCAAAAACAAGTGACAAGAACAGAACAGAACAAAACAAAAAAACTGCAAAGAATCTTCTCCAGTAAGGCCACATTTAGAATCTGGGAATTACATCATGGACATATCCTTTTATGGGATCATTATTCAAACCACTATAGGAGGGCAGTCCATAGGAGCAGACAGTGGCGAGGTTAGAAAACCACAATGCGTTAGCTATGTGTTTAAGACCACATCTGGGACTTAGCAGAGCTAAGCTTGACTCTACCAGCTGGGCACATCCCACTCCACATATTTGTGGATTTTTTTCCCCAAATCTATTTTATTTCATAGGGAAAAAAAGGAAAACAAAATTTCAAAACACATCAATTTGGGAGCAGCAATGGTACATATATTGTGCACTGTCATCCCCAAATCATTCACCCAGAGCACAAGACATGTGCGTTCAATTGTTTAAATAATACCAGCACAAATCTTTCTCTTTAATGATCTCAGAAAATTCAGTAACATAACTATCTTTTCAATATACCTATACATATCCATATGTGTATACATAATGTTTCTGTCAGCATCTCACACTAGTGAGACACACTCCACACATTCCTAACTGGTTGAAAACTAGGCTGATGTTTTGAGGCATCCAAAATGCCAGTGAGGGCCGTGGAAAGCCATCGGAAGGCCACCAGAGCACGTGATGGTAGGAGTAGCTGCAAGGGCAGATGGGGAAGGTGACAGTACCCTGGGTGTCCTAGGACATGAGGAGGCTTGGCTGGGACTGGTCAGCTCAGAGCGGACATAAGGTACTAGGAGAGACCTTACATAGGGCCTCCAGGATCCCCATTACCTGAAGAAAACATCAGCAGCCCTAGACATGGATAAGACCCAGGTCTTGTTCCAACTTCCTGGGGGCCTTGGAAGGCTGGAGACCTCTGGTCAGCCAAGGAGTCTTGAGAATAATCTATGCAATATTCTCCACTTTCTCCTCATCTATGAGCCATGTCCAGGACGCCCTCCTCTGCCCTCTGTCAGCTGGCGGGCCACTCTTGTAAGGTCTATGGAGATGTCCATTATCAAACATGCACCATGGCCAACTCACATGCTATAAACCAGCCTTATCCGAGTAAGTCCTCACTTCCATGCGGAAAGGGGAAGAGGCTGGGGACCTGTACCCTATCCCAACTTGACCCATTTACAGAGCCAGTTCTCGGAACCTCTGGGGTTGGGGAGAAGCCGGTGTCGGGAACAGATCTTCACCTGGAAACCGTGTTCGCCATCTGCTTCCTTTCAGCCTTAGGTGGCCAATGAAGAGGGCCTCCTGCCCATAGCTCCTGGGAGCCAGGTCTGCAGACGCAAGTGCCTGGGATGCGCACCGGAGGGGTCTGCAGAAGGGTCCCAGCCGACTAGCCTTGCCTTTCTCCGGGTCCCCACTCTGAGATGGGTCGGATCCCGCTCCCACCGCAGCGAGCCCAGCCCTCCTCGTCCGGCCTGCGACGCCTGTACAGAAGTGGAGGAGCCCAGGACCAGGGGAAGGCAGTCGTAACCACTAGGCCCCTCTCCTCCAACCAGGCGCGCGCCCGCAAAGCAGCTACGACGGAGGAGAAGAACGAGAAAGTGACGAATAAACTGCTACTGGTAGTCGGCCGCAGCAGTCTAAAAACGGGGCGTGTTTTCTGCCCTTAGTAGACATGACGGAATAGGCTTCTGGGAGAACTCTGCGCTTGCGCAAAGGCCCAAAGGATGGGCAAATGCCTATTACCGAACACCCGTTAGCTTTCCATGAATGCGCACGCGCTAAGGACGCCGACAACCGCGGGGTGGACCCTTCATTTTCATCCTTGGTTGGTTCCAGAAGACGGATGACCTTGCGCGCGCACGTTCTGTCGTCTCTGACCCGGAAGTTTTCACTTTCCTTAAAGGCGTCGGCGCGCCGCTCGCGGCCTCTTCCTGTCTCTGCCAGGGCGGCGCGTGGTCTGCGCGGTGCGACCGAGGCGATCCGGCTGCACCTTTCACGTAAGGTTGCGGAGGGGTGGGGGCTTCGCGGTTCGCCCAGGTCTCCGTGGGAGCTGTGGCCGGCATCAAGGCCAGGCTTTCCAGTATAGGGCCTCACCTCTTTCTCTGGAAAAGGGTGCACAGCAGAGGACGCGAACGGGGGTTTTTCGGCTGCTTGTACTCGGCCGCCTCCACGGCTAACGGCCTGCACGGCTCCGTACGTTAGCTTGAATTCTTTAGCAGTGCACTGGGACGGAAAGTTTCAGTCTTCTGAATTCCCTAACGCACGCGTTGTTCTCCACACGTTTTCTTCTCAATAGCAGCCCCTAGTGTCGAGCCAGGGAGCAAACCTTTGCTTCGGTCACCACAGAATGGGTGCAGGTGCCTAGCAGCAGGGCCATGGTGCGGGTGAAAAAGTCGCGCTCACAGCTTTTTTTTTCTCGCAGGGTCAATTGAGCATGTAACTTTCATGGTTGGGGTTGGTTTCTGGCCGGTGTGATGTCTGGGTGTTTGCATCACTCGCGGCCCGTTATAGTGGATTGCGCGTGTCAGTTGCTGACCAGACAGACGCCCACCAGCTCTTGGGCAGCCGGGGTCTTGGTGAGAAGCGCTGCTTTCTGCTGAGTGCTCTTAAAAGAGCTGGGAGAAACATGCATTCCCACGCACCTTCCTCGTTCACGGAATGGGGTATCCCTAGGAGAGGTGAGCACGGGCTGCCTGGATTCTGACCGTCTCTCCCTTCCCTCGTTCCCTCTAGGATGACCGAGTGGGAGACAGCAGCACCGGCCGTGGCCGAGACCCCTGACATCAAGCTCTTTGGGAAGTGGAGCACTGATGATGTACAGATAAATGACATTTCCCTGCAGGTGAGCAGAAGGTGATGGACTTCCTGCTGAGAGATGTAGGTTTGTCCACAAGAGGAACTTAAGAGTTGCATTTTGCCCACAAAGTCTACAATAGAAGCCATGGCAAGGAAAGGAGAGGTGGTGGCTGGACTTGTACATCCACTTGTCCTCCTCTCCCCACCGCATAAGAACTGAACTTAGGGCCTTCTCTCTTTTCTGTTTTTGTGATGGGATCTCAGAGTAAGTTTCCTAAGTCTCCTAAATTTGGGCTCAAACTTTTGATCCTCCCACCTCAGCCTCAAAGTACGCTGGGATTACAGGTATGTGCCACAACACTTGCCTGCTCTCCGATCTTCATAATGTCCTATCCAGGGGGCACTGCAGTTTTTGTGATGAGATGGTTTCTTCTGGAGGAGTTTGGTATTTAGTATACTGTTCTGTGTCAGGTTTGACTTTACAGTAGGAAAATAATTATCCAGTGTTTGAGGCCCAGATAGTACTAGTCTAGCACATTCAGGGTTCACTGGGAGTAGGATCAGGCATTTTAAAGTAAGAGCCAACATCATTTGTGTTCCATGTGGGTAACAAATCGTCCCACACCTACCAATTGTATAATGTTGGCACCCTTGTAAAAATTTAATCGCCTGCCCATGGATGTATGAGTTTATTTCTGAACCTTGAATTGTATCACATTGACCACTATAACTGTTTATGCCAGTAGCACAGTCTTAATTATTGTAGCTTTATGAAGTTTTGGAATTGGTGTGAGTGCTTCTACTTTGGGGTGGTATTGAACGCAGGTTTTTTCTTCCTGCCTGAACTTCATGATTTTTGTGGACTATAGGAACTATTGCTTTTGTTGCCTCTCCCTTTATTAAATGTATTTTGCATTTTTATAAGTAGAAACTGAATTGTTTCATATTTACTTCCTTGTTTCATTTATTTATTTGTTTGTTTAAAAACAGGTTCTCACTATGCTGTAGTTCAGATTGGCCTTGAACACACTAGTTCACGCTGACCTCAACCTGCTGGGATCTTCCTGCTTCAGCCTCCCAAATTCTGAGATTATAGGCACATCCCACCACGCCTCGATTTTTTTTTTTTTTTTAATGAAAATATTTGTTGCCTCCAAAGACCTTATAGGACTAATGAACTATGCCTAAAAGATAATTCAGGCCTAATACCCCTGCAACGCACAAAAAAAATCCTACAAGAATTTTTATTAGAAATTCTATTAAACTTCTAAGCACAGTGGTACATACCTATAATCCCAACACTCCAGAGGCTATTTTTCATTCTGAATGTCTAATACTTTTCTTTGTGGGTTTGTTTAGAGAGGTCTGCAGACTTTTTGGGGGGTGGGGTCGTGGTGTTGGGGATGCTATGTGATATTCTACCAGTCATTCCCAGACTTCATTAATAGACTAGATAGATAAATGTTGCTAGTATCACAGGTCACAGTGGGGGTCTCAATTATTTATAGATCAGTTTTGTCTCCTCTTTTGTATAACCTTTTAAAAATGTAAGAATTACTTTTGTTATCCTTGCTCTGCTGTCAAGCCTCAGATATGAAGGGCAATGTGGCACTGGAGTATTCAGTGTGAGCAGCTGTGCGGGGCTGCAGTGTGGGCCAGACCTTCGTGGGGCATTGGTGCCTTTGTTTCTCTCCAGGGTAGATGTTAGGCAGCTTTTCCTGTCATTTCCTATTAATTTGAAGAATCCCTTCATCTGTCTGTCTCACTGGGGCTTGAACCCAGCGTCTTACCCATTAAGTTATTTATCTCTTTACTTTGAGACAGAGTTTCCCTACAATGCCTGGGCTAGTCTGGAACCTTATGATCCACTTAGTTCAGCCTCCCACATTGCTAGTATGTACCCATTGCCATACTGGTTTTTTGGTGTTTGGTGGGTTTTTGTTGTTGTTTGGTTGTTTTTTGTTTTTGTTTTGTTTGTTTGACAGGTTTGCTAGCCCAGGCTGGGCTTCATCTTGCAGTTTTCCTGCCCCAGCCTCCCAGAAAGCACCTGCCACCATGCTCACCTTGTATACATTCTCACATGCAAGTGATACAGTGGCCTCAGCACTCTGGGAAGATCAGTGGCATTCTCCTCGGTGTACACAAAGTCTCTTTGATTCCATCTTCCTTTTTATATCTTTTGAGATTTTTCTAGATACTTTCTTTTAAAATAGTGGTTCTTGGGGGAGGGGTTCCCCTCTATAAAAGACATTGTACAACATGTAGAAACATGTTATCAAAATTGAGGTTGACACTCCTGTAATCTTAGTATTTTAGGAGGCTGAAGCAGAAGGATCATAAGTTCTGGGAAATTAGTGAGACAGACCCAGTCTCAAAAAATTGATGTTTTGTTTTATTCGTTTGTTTTTTCCTTGTCTTTTTGAGACAAGATCTTGCTATGCAGTTCAGGCTGCGCTTGAGCTTACTTTGTAACCCTGGTTTAGAATTTAAAACCAGTTCTCCTGCTTCAGCCTCCCAAGTGCTGGGATTACAGGCATGTGCCACCACACCCAGCTCAAAAAATTTAAAAGGACCAGGCATGGTGATGCATGCCTGTAATTCCAGCATTTGGGAGACTGAGACAGGAAGGTTGCTTCAGTGTTCAGGACCAGCCTGAATTAGAAGGCCATGGCTCAAAAATTAAAAAAAATTTTAAGGGGCTGGTGATAACAGCTCAGTGGGAATGGGTCTCAGTAGTCCCAAGTACTGCAGAAACAAAAATTGAGAAGGATGTTACTAAGCATTATACAGTAGATACTGCAGTCTGTTCCCTAACATTCAGAGTATATGTTGGGAAACAGTGTTGTGAAATTGCCTTGATTGCTGCCTCTACCAACAGTGTGTTCCCCTTAGTGATTTGGCAAGTGGGGCTCACACCTGTAATCCCCTAGCACAGAGGGTTTGTGGGTAGCTGGGGCCTGGCAGACCTCTTGACTGTATGCACCCCGTCCCAGGATTACATTGCAGTGAAAGAGAAGTACGCCAAGTACTTGCCCCATAGCGCAGGGCGCTATGCTGCCAAGCGGTTCCGCAAAGCACAGTGCCCCATCGTGGAGCGGCTCACCAACTCCATGATGATGCACGGCCGCAACAATGGCAAGAAGCTCATGACTGTGCGCATCGTCAAGCATGCCTTCGAGATCATCCACCTCCTCACAGGCGAGGTAGCGCTCTGGGGCCAAGGTGCTGGGTGGCAACACATGCCAAGCTTTTAGTAGGCACCCCAGTGTCATCTGCTCACGGCCCCTTCTCTGCCAGAACCCTCTGCAGGTCCTGGTGAACGCCATCATCAACAGTGGCCCTCGGGAGGACTCTACACGCATTGGGAGAGCTGGGACAGTGAGGCGGCAGGCAGTGGATGTGTCCCCACTGCGCCGGGTGAATCAGGTGGGTCTGGGGCCTGTGTGGGTGGCAGGGCAAGAATAGCCACCAGAGTTGGGTGGAGTCCTGCATGAGCAAGTCCACCGGTTCACTCCTGTCACGCCTCACTCCAGGAAGGCTTCCTGGATTCCCAGCCTGTGCCATCCCAAAACCTACCCCCTCCCCTAAAGCTGAGTTTTATCCTATTCATAGCATGTAAGGGGTATTGGTGAGAGCATTCTTTTTTTGTTTTCTGGGACTGTCTACTACTTGAGCAACACTTTTAAGTATTAGAGTAAGACCAGAGCTTTCCAGTTTTGGTAGTGCACTAGATAGAGGCAGAGGGACCTATCTTGCAGGGTATTACCTTCCTCCTGTCTTTTCTTGGGGCGGGTGACATGTTGAGCCACTTTTTTGAGGTTGGGCCATGTGCTGAGCTTCCCTGCACTCTGTAGGCCATCTGGCTGCTGTGTACCGGTGCCCGGGAGGCTGCCTTCCGGAACATCAAGACCATTGCAGAGTGCCTGGCAGACGAGCTCATCAATGCTGCCAAGGTGGGTGGGGTATGTTTTGAGGTGGGCATGGGAAGGGGTCACTCGGCACCTCAAACTAACATCTGTCTCTTTGCAGGGCTCCTCCAATTCCTATGCCATCAAGAAGAAGGATGAGCTAGAGCGTGTGGCCAAGTCCAACCGCTGAGTTTCCAGCTGCTGCCCAATAAACTGTGCCCATGGGGCAGTCCTGCCTGTATTTGCTGTGTTGTCTGGGTGGGGGCCAGAAGCTTTGGCGATACTCACATTGTACACCATTGCAGTCAGGGCCAGGGATGGTCACAGGTACAGCAAGCACTGGGAACACAGGGTGGGGCTGCCTGTACCTTTGCAGGCCCTGGTGTTGACATGAGCTGTGGGGGACTTTGGGATGCTCTGAAGGCTATTCCTTGGAACCACCTGTAGGTGAGGAAATCAGGCCTGGTGTCTACTGGCTTCACTCTTTAAGCACCAGCAGGGACACTGCACAGGGGCCTGAGATTTCACCATCGTGCTGTCGCCACCACTGCCCTCCGAATCAGGCTGCTACTCACCTGGGGCGGGGAGGGTGGTCTGACAGGTTCTGCAGGAGCCCCGAGGGGGTGGTGCCAGCCAGGCCCCAGCCTCGGGGAGGGACACAGATACCTGGCCTCTAAAGTCAGTAGCCAGGTCAGAACAGAACCTGCTGCAGAAGAGACATCCCCAGGTATGGGCTAAGTCGGGTCGGGGCTGTGTGGGTCAGTGGGTCTCGGTCTTCCATCTCTGCTGGGTGCATATCCTATCGTTAGGGGCACTTTGGAGAGTATCTGTCCTCTCCGTGGGCCTTCCATTCCTGCTTCTGGGCTATCTGACATTCATTCCCACTGAAGCAGTTCTTCAGCAGGTCTCCGTGCTTCTCCCTATGCCCTGCCCTCGGCCACCATGGCTCCGTCGCCCGCGCATCCCTCAAGGGGGTGCAGAGGATGAGGACGCAGAGGAGGAGCACGACGGCAGCCCTGGGGCTGGCCCCATGCTGTCCCCCACCGAGTGCCTCATCTGCGTGTCACCCTTCGATGGTGCCTTCAAGCTGCCCAAACGCCTGGACTGCGGCCACATCTTCTGCCTCGAGTGCCTAGCTCGCCTGTCGCTGGCCACAGCGGGCGGCGGCGATGGAGTGTCCTGTCCGGTGTGTCGCGCGTTCACCCGCTTTGCGCCGCGTCGCGGCCTCCCTGCGCTGCCCACACCCACCGTGCTGCTGCCCGGGGAGGTGCGTGCTTCCACGCCGCGTGGAGGCTCCGTGCGTTTCGACCGGCGCCGCGGCCTGCTGTACGTGCGCGCACCCGTGCCCTCCGGGTCACGAAAAGGCCGTGCACTACCGGCACCCCAGCCTCCGCTGCGCCTGGGCCGCCCGCTGTCGCGCCGCCTGTCGTTCCGCAGCCCGGCCTGGGCGCTCAATGCGGCTGTGGCTCTCGCCGCGCTGGTGGCCGCAGGACTCGTGGTCTCGGCTGTCTACATCTTCTTCCTCATCCCGCGCACTGGGAGCCCCTCGCACCCACAGCTCATGGCGCTGCCCACGGCGACCTGGACCCCAGCCCAGACAACGAGGACCACAAAAGGGACCTCAGAGGACACCTGGGGAGCTGAGCTTGGGACTTGGGGAACAGAGCTTGGGATGCCGGGAGCAGAGCCAGGGGAATGGGGAGCTGAGTCCAGTCCTGGCTGGACCCCTAGAGCACGTGGTGGTGGGAGGGCCAGGGGAACTTGATAGTGGTCCTGGCCTCCAGTCTGTGGCCTTGGGTCATCCTAGTGCCCCTGTTTCCTCAAGGAGGGTTTGCTGGAAGGGTATCCCCAGGACTGTCCCCAGGAGCCATGAAACACACTGGAGAAATGGCATCATTCCTGGGGGCTTCTTGGGAACACGGTCCGGTGGGCCCACCTGCAGCATCCCTTGGACTGTAGTTACTATGGCCATGAAGCCAAGGTTGCCCAGCCTGCCTTTGGAAGTGTGCTGACTGCTGTGGTACCCATGGTCATCCCAGAGCCCTGGGAAGCATCGACCCGTGTATCCAAATGTCCTGGGGCTGCTGCTCCCTGGCACCACAGTCAGTCTGTGGGCTTCCATGTGCACTACTTGCAGTCTGGGTCTAAGTACACAAGCTATCACCTGCACACTTGCCTGGAAATCAGGCTTCCAGGGGCAAGGGTGACCTAGTGGGGGTTTGGGTGAACCCAGGGACTCCCAAACTGCTTTAGGAACCTCCACTTCCCCTGATGCACCTTGGCTTCCAGTAGTCAAGTTTCCTGACTAACTGGAGAGATCCTGGCCTGTCTTCCACATGGCCAGAACCATCTTCCCCAGTGACTGCCTTTTCTCCTGCAGGGCCCCAGCAGCCCTGCCTATCCTACCACTTGTTTCAGCCTCCCCAGTGCAGAGCAGCCAGCAGAGAAGAGGGCTGTGTCTCCTGTCATCTCCCATAAGCCTTCCTGGCATTTTCCAGAAACTTAGACTTCTATGAAGCTGCAATCTAATCTGTTTACATGTGTTGTGTTTCCCTGCCATGGTATGCAGTGGGTGCTCAGTGGGTTACTGACAGGGCGTGACAGCATCTCGGGTGGCTGATGAGAAGCTTGGGAATGCCTGGGCCCCAGCATGTCCACAGACCTATTTATGTTGTAAGCTGTTGCTTCCCAGTGTCAGCCAGAGGAACATCAGGAGTCCCAGGACATGTCTTTTCTGGACCAGGTCCTGGCCACACCTGTTGCCAGCAGCACTTACTGGGTCACTGGGAAGCCATAGCCCAGCCTCACTATAGGGGAACTTGGTCTACAAGTGATAGCCTGGTAGGTTTCTCTGGTTACTGTAAAAAATTACCAACTCAAAGTCTAGGAATGACACACATTTATCATCTTACATATCTTCTGTCCTACAGTACTGGGGATTGAACCCTCGGCCTTTGCGTGGAGCTACAACCCCGGCCCTATTTTATTTTTTGAGACAAGTTATTGCTAAGACCTAAATTTCCCTGGCAGTGTTTAACTTAGGGATTTAGTAAGCTACCACCTGCAGCTACCACTTGGCCTCACTGTGTCCATTTGTCATTGTGGGAGCCATGCCACCTGCCGAAATGCCAGCTTTTAGATGTGGTTGAGGTTACAGATCCAAGGTTCCCTTCTTCAGGCAGCTTTTTTGGACCACTCTCAGAGAGTGCATCCTCCCTCGCTGCCCCCCAGGGGCTACTGTGGCTTCTGCAACCTCCCAATGGGACCCCATGACCTCGTTCTCTCCTTCCTAAAAAGAAGCCAAGCACATGAGTGTCTGCAGAGTACTACCTCAGTGCCTCCCTCGCAAGGGCTGCGGGAAATCGGCAGCACAGGATCATGGGGTTCCCCTTCCATCCTCTCCTGGGCTTCACATTTGGTTGCATCCTCCCTCGTCCACTCCACATCCAGTGCACTCCCTCACAGTGGTACCCGGATCTTGACACCGGGCCGCAGGCTGGACGCTCTTCCTAGGTGGAGGGGGTGGCCTCGGTATCTGGCTCTGGCGCCTGGGCCTATATGGGCGGGGATTGGTTCTCCTTTCTGAACGTGGGCAACAATAAACCCGCTGCTTTCTCAGAAGTCATTTATCTACAAGTATTTACGGAGTGCCTTCTGTGTACTGGGTGCGCGGGGGGCGGGGAAACCACAACCAGGATGAGGGCTCCATTCCACGGGACCCCACCAGCCTTTCCTTTGGAGGGCCCTGGCCTTTAGGAACACCCTCCTGTGGCAGGCTGAGGCCAGCAGAGGAGCAGCTGGGCCCAAGGAGCAGCAATGTGCAGACTGACTATGCCATAGGCTGACCAGCAGGACAGGAGGTGGGTTCAATTTTGCGTCCAGGGAGCTTTCGAAATTACGCTGCGCATCCCGCAGCCTCACTTTGCGATCCTCTGCCTTTGTTCTCGGGTACCTCCTGGACTGCAGGTCTTTCGTTGGGTTTGGACCACCAGGGGGGCACACTCAGAGAGCCAAGGTTTTTTTTGTTTTGTTTTGTTTTGTTTTGTTTTTGTCTTTTTCCTTTTTATCAGTACCAGGGATCGAACTCACGACTGCCTGCTTGCAAGGCGGGCGCTTATGCCGCTGAGCTAAATCCCCAGCCCCTAGTGATTTTTTTTTTTTTTTTCGAGCCAAGGGTTTTTGAGCCAATCAGAAACTGGGAAGGTGAACGGTTGTTGCTAACTGGTCCAGTTTTTTGAAACGCACAAATTCGTGCTGGCCAGGTAGGAAGAGCAGGGAAGACTGCTGTGAATGAGTGGCCAATCAGAACCGCGAAATGGGAGTTTCTATTCAGACGCGATTTGCTTTCCTACAGCCAAGGGCCCAGCTGAGCACGCGGAGGATGGCGTTGTTCTGACAACAGCAGGCTCCGCTGTCTGGACAGCGGCCTCAATGCACCGCGTGCTACCAGCAGAAATAAAGTGTGGGGGCGGGACTCCCAGAGGCGGAAAAGCGCGGCTATTCAGTGAGCAGAAATGATCCAGAGCAAAGAATCCAGAAACAGCTGCGGCTGGCACCTGAGAGAGGGGCGGTACCATCGCAAGTCCGCGCTGCTGCTGTGCCATAGTTATGACAATCTGAAAACTGGGTTTGGTGGCTCTCGCCTGTAATCCCAGCAGTGGGAGGCTGAGGCAGGAGGGCTCCTTGAGTTCGAGGCCAGCCTGGGGTACATAATGAATTCAAGGCCAGCCTGAACTACATAGTGAAATCCTGTCTCAAAAATAAATAAAAATAAACAGATTATAAACTATGATTTAATGGTTTTTGTGCTGCGATTTAATCTAGGGGTTACACTGAGCCCAACTCTTCCTTATTTATTCATTGACAAGAGTCTTGCCTAAGTAGCTAAGTTGCTCAGGGTGGCCTCAAACTTGAAATCTTGAGACTTCACCCTCCCTAATAGCTAGAATTATACGTTTAGGGCCAATACACTTGTAAGTGGCTATGATTATATTTTAATTCTATCAGACTTCAGTACAGGTACATCTATGGATAAGAGTGAGGACCCCCGTGGGCTGAGGGCCTTCACCAAATTGATTGTGGTTTGCTCCCAGGGGTCAACTGGGATCTGCCTCCCCTTTCTGGGAGGACCCTTCCTTTTTTTTGCCCCTGATTAAAAGAGTATTTATTGTACCATTTTCTGTTTTATAGTACTGTGTACTCTAAAGCCAACTATATTCATACATTATGTGCCAGAAATTCCACTTAAACACATATACAGTATTTACCAGAGGCATTAACAGAATGTCCATAGTCACACTATCTTTAATATGTTAAACCTAATTACTATGTATTCAAATACCTATCAACAATACCATGGTTTTACAAGTTGTGGTAAATTTACAAATGGAATACCATACAATGCTGACACCATCTGATTGTTATCTGAACACAGCACCAGAAATCAAGTTCATTAATAAAGTCCTGAAATACGTTACAAATGGATCACTTTTATACAAGTAAATAAATCAGCAAAAGTATTCTATGAAGTGCTGCAGGATTTTATGTACCAATAGAATGTGATGTCTTTTTTCCAAGAACAGCTTTATTCAGACTGGCACTGACTCGGGATCCATATCCAAAAGCTGAGTGTCAACTGTGGAGTAGTTGTATTCTTTTATACAATTTTTGTGTCTTTGTCTCTCTTATACGGGCCCACACTAACATTTTACAGTCTGGTCCAGTAGATAGTAACCTTCTGCAGTGTGGTTGGGCATGATTTATGCCACAAATACAGCAGAACCATACATGCAAGTTTGGCGCGGTTTTGCACACCTGTGATCCAGCTCTTAGGAGGCTGAGGCAGAAAGGGTGTTGAAAATTTGAAACGAGCCTGGGCTACGAAGTGAGCTCAAGACCAGCCTGATCTGCATAGTGAGACCCTGTCTCAAAAAGACAGAAAAAAAATTTAAGAGAACTACACTTGTATATGCAAAGGCTGATACAGCTACATTGTTAAAAAGTTCCTGTCCCACAAGTCTGAGGGGCCCTATCAGATTTCCCACTTTGATGCTCACATCTAATACTATTTTGGGTCAAAGAGCACTGTTATGGATTAAAAACTGTTGGTCCGCTTAACACCAGCTGAATTAAATCAGCATGGTGCTGAGGGTAGATGGCCCACCTGAGGAAAATTGCCAGCATGAAAGGAGACATGAAGAGGACAATTGTGGCGTAGAGTTCTACTAAATGTTTCTTGGAACCGTTAGTTTTCCTGGAAGAACTTGTCGTGCTGGCTTTCCTGATAGGATTCGGCCATTATCATTGGAGGAGCTTGGGGTCCTTGTGCTGAGAGTGGTTATGGTTCACTTTGGGAGAGCTCTGCTCCTTACATTGAGCCTCGATTCCTGGCTCTAGAGGGGAAGATGTGTACTGTTAATCTCCAAGAGAAGCTTGTTATGCTGGCTTCCTGGCATGTTCTCATCATGAGAGGAGCTCAAGATCTCATTGTCCCTGAGGATGGCTGTGGTACTTTTCAGGACAGCCATGGTTCTTGAGAGTGACTTCTCAGCTACAGTGTAGAACCCTCAACCTACCAGCCCAGCTCCTTCATCCCACTGGCATAGACTTTCTAGCTTCCACTGCTGACCTTTGGGCTTTCCCAGTAGACCAATAAAACAGACTGGCGCGAGTCATTCTTGTGGGCTGTAGACCTCCAGTTGGACTCCTGGAAGGCATTGACATGGGCTTTAGCTGGACTCATGCAGGACATTACTGTGGGATCCAGGCCCTCAGCTGGAATTTCTAAATCTTTAGTGTTATGGACAGATTTCCTGCACTTTCTTGTATTTAATTCTGGGTGACCATCATAAAGTAATATAAATTGTGTCCTGTATATAACTGTTTTCCTTGCAACCTTTGACTACAAAAAAGATCATCCTAGCTTAGAGGTTTGTATTTCCATAATGTCACAGTGTGTGCCATCATTTTTCTTTCAACCATTGTTTCAGTGTAGACATTGTCAATGCATCATCAAGGGAATCAGACAGGACAAGATCAAACAGGTTCCCAAAATCAGGAGTTTAGTATCTTTGAGGGTTTTGAATTCCCTAAGAGTTGAAAACCATTCCTCAAACAGTTCCCTGGGTCCCTTATGTTTTCCTCATCATCTCTTTCTAAGCAGCAGTTCCTCAGATTAAATTTCTCACAAGTCACTCAGAAGCACATAGCAAAACTCTGGAGAGAAAGACAGACAAGACAGAAAGAGACCTTGACAGAAAAATGTTTTGTTTCACTGAGACAATCTTGCTATGTAGCCCAAACTGGCCTCAAATTTGCAATGATCATCCTGCCTCAATCTCCTGAGTTCTGGGATTACAGACGGGTACTACATGTCTGCCACAATGCCTTTTGTGACCTGTATCATCTTTCTGCTCTGGTACCTGGAACCCTGTATATTATAGGAGTATTTGAGATTATAACTCTAGGTGATATATACTGGGACCATCTAAAGGTACAGCCAATAGCAGGGTTTTATTTTCTTCAGCTGAGCAGCCCCTTGGGCCTGCCGCCTCATGACAAGGTGCAAGGCTTCTGGACCAGGCTGAATCCCCAGGGAATAACCCTGTCAACATTTCTGTGAATGTTAGGGAGGCAAGGGAGAAGCCTACAGTGGCAGCAAGTGGGGAGAGTATTATAGCTGAAGGAGAGAAAGGGTGGAGAAATGATAGAGGCTGCATCCTTACCTTATCTCCAGGGTCTCAAATGTGGATGGTGGAAGGAGGAATGAATCCTTGGGGAGCAGCAGAGGCTGGTCCCATTACAATAGCTGGCTCCTAGCTGGGTGTGATGGTGCACACCTCTAATCCTAGCACTCTGGAAGGCTGAAGCAGGAGAACCATAGGTTTAGGTCTAGCCTGGGCAACTCAGCAAGACACATCTCACCAAAAAACACAAAACAAAACAAGGCTGAGGCAGGATGAGTGCCATGAGTTTGAGGCCAACCTGGGCTATAGGGTGAGTGTAAGGCCAGCCTGGACTGAACAGTGAGACTCTACTTCAAAAACAAACAAACAAACAAATAAAAAGCCCCAACCCAATCCAAAACAAAATAGATCAAGCAAAGGAAAAAACAAACAGGACTCTTCTCTTATAGGACTCAGCTCTCTTTCCTAGGAATCTTGTCCCCATGAATTGTGGTGGAATTGGATAGAGAATCTTTCCTGCAGCCATCTGTGGGTGTCACCGTTGGGGAAGTCCTTGGCAGGGTGGCACTTGCGCTAGGTACTGGCCAGGCAACTGCCAAACATGTCAGGATACAGGGATTTAAACAGACAACTGATTGTGGTGTTGCAGGATTTAAAGAGACAGAAGACACCAAATGAGAAACAGGAGAGTTTTATTTTTAGGTGTGCACTGGTTCAGCAGATAAATCTAAAATGGGTAGTGGACAAAGGAGCTGGTCCAGCTTTCATAGATTTGGTCAGGGGGTTGGTCTTCGGCATGGAACTTGTGAGTGAGCAGAAAGAGGACAAAGGCAGTTGTCAAGCTGTGATGTTCTGTATCTTGGTGGCCCTCTCAGACATAACAGGCTGTTATGGGGAGATTATAAAACTCCACTTACAAGCATGGAGACCA